CCCATCTCCACAAAACAGAAAAATGAGCCAGGTGGGGTGGCAGGCACCTGTACTCCCAGCTACTGGGGCAGAAAGCTGAGCAAGAGAATAGCTTAAGCCCAGAAGTTTGAGAACATCACATCACTGCACTGCACCCTGGCCCAGGCAACAGACTGTCCCAACAGCCGGTCTCAAGAAAACAAAAACCGGCTCGGTGCCCGCAGCACAGTAGTTACAGCACCAGCCACAAACACCGAAGTTGGAAGGTTCGAACCCAGCTGACCAGCTAACCAACAATGACAACTGCAACAAAAAATAGCTGGGCACTGTGGCAGGTACCTATAGTCCCAGCTCCTTAGGAGGCTGAGGCAAGAGAATCACTGAAGCCTAAGAGTCTGAGGTTGCTGTGAGCTGGGCTGTGACGCCACCGCACTCTACCCGGGATGACATACGGAGACTCTGTCTCAAGAAAAAAAAAAAAAAAAACAGTCAAAAAAGTTTTCTGTTGCAGATATACTCAGAAACTGCAATTTATGTATCTCCTAGAAAAGGTGCAGCACATTCGACCATGATGTCTTTTCCTTATAATAATTTGCAGGACTCCTCCTAAAATTGTATCCTGTCCTTCATATTACCATCTACACAGATCTGCGGAAAAGCTGGAGCTTATTGATTACTCCTGGGAAAAGCAGGTGAGAATTTTTTTTTTTCAAAAACCTCAAAACTCAGTGAAACATTATGAAAAGCAAGTATCATTTATTAATTTTTCATCTTCTTTGACCTGTTTAAAACACTGGTAACAATTTTGACATTTCATCAAGTTCCTTTCAAATAATTTTTAAAACCACAAGTCTTAAGCATATTATTTTTAGGTCATTCAAATATTTAAATAACTGCATACTTTAAAATGAAAATGTTTCAGCATCTCTTTTGTTTTATGGTGTTATACAATTATTTCCTTAACTAAACACTGGACAGTTTTCATACACTGTGCACTGATTCAGAATTGGCATTTCCATTTCAAAAGCAAACAGATACTAAACCATGTGAAATATGTTCAGGTCATATGTTTATTTTGTTCAGTGTCACTCATTAAACAAAGACAGTTTCACAAACTATATGAAAAGTATAAACTGGACTGTGGCTGTTTTAAAGCTGTTTTGATAAGTCATGGTTCTAATATTTAAGGGGAAAACATAACAAAAGACTGAAAGTTCACTGCAGTCTTTAGTGTATACCAATTGTATCGATAGCACCAGACATTTTCATCCACTAACATATTGCTGAGTTTAGCAGTTTGTATTAAAAGTCCTTATAATTTTTTTAATTGCTGTTTTATGAAAATTAAAAGAAAAAATAACATCTAATGCTATGTCTTTACTGATTCTTTTTTTAACAATTACGGAACACCTATCACGTGCGAGGCAAAGTTGTACTAGGGATATCAACATACAAAAAAAGCAATGTAGATGACTTTCCCTGCGGAGCTTATATGAGACAAATCATCTGGCCTAGAAGCCCTGGAGAAGAAAATAAAGATGTGAGGGGGGCGGCAGGGAAGAAAGATTTATAGTGTTAAATTTGGTGGTCAGGGCCTAATGGCAAGGGACATATTAAAGCATACACTTGAGAGAGACTAGGTCCGCCCACGATGCTCTTTGGGGGAAAAGCATTTCAGTCAGAAAGAAAACCCAGAGCAGAGGATCCTACAGGGAGGCCTCTGGTTTATATTGCTCCTATATTTTATTGTAACACAGCCTTATTCATTGGTTTACATGTTATCTAAACCTACTTTCCGGCTGCAACTACTGAGTTAAATAATTGTAACCTACAGAGACCTACAGCTCCAAATCTGAAAATATTTACTATCTGATCATTTACAGAAAATAATCTGTTGACACCTGCTCTATGGAATTCATAATGTAATTTCAACCAGTGCTACCTGGACCAGAGAGACATGTGACCATCAGTTAAATAAATCTCAGCAATATTTGCACAAGCAATGGGTAGGCATTACTTTATATGATTAATGAACATCTTAAATGCCCTCAGAATAGGCTACAGATTCTCATTAGGGAAAGAAAAATGGCCAGTTCCACTTCTGACCTATTAAATGTGTGCTTTTTGGCCAATGACATGTATTTCTTTCAAGTCATAGCAATAAGATCATGTAGAAGAGTTTTTAAATTTCTTGATGTTTATAACACATTTCTTTCTTTGCTCTATCTCCATCCATCCTGGTATTGGCAGAGGGAGGACAGTTAAGACAGAATATGCCATTATTTCCCCTCAAAAAGTATAGAAAGCTCATAGCATCTAACCTTAGGTAAGTTCAGAACAGAAAAAACGGAAAGAAAGCTCTTATAAAGAGGGAAATGGTCTACCTGCCCCAAAGGGGGCCAGAAATGGTACCCGGGGCATAAAGAGACCAACCCTGCATGACACCAGCAGAGATCACATAGGAAATCACAGCTGCTGGGATGCTGTACGCAGGTCTGCTAATTCTTACAGTAGCACTTTGAGGAAGCTCTAGGATCTCCCTCAATACTTAAATACAGAAATGAAAGATTACAGAACGTTCAAGCTCACGGTTTCATTTCACCAATGTGTAGATCAAGGGCTGACTCAGGCTTTCATTCTTTGAACATTTACTTACTATCAATACCAAGAAGTGGTAAGAACAGACAGTACACGCAGTAGATGATTTTATCATCATAATGTAGCAGAAAGGAGTGACACAAAATTTATACTAAAGAGCATTCTTCTTTGGTTTACTTAAAAGCAAATTTCTTAAAATTATGTAAATATATGAAGTCATAACCTATAATTACTAACAAAAAAAGTTTCGGGGTATTTTAGCTTTCTTAAGAAATGTAATTCATGCTCCCACTAATGGTATAATGTTCTTTCTGGTAAGTTATTTGCTAGTCTAGAAACGATGCACGTTTTCAGGGAAAGAAGAGAGAAAACCAGCACATCGTACTGACTTGCCGGATTTGCTAAATATGAGAAGCTTAATCCAGAAATAATTTAATAATTCATGAGAAACATTCCAAGTAAATATTTCACAAAGACATCCAACAATAAGGATACCAGAGATAATTCTAATTAAACATAATCCCCCCTCAAAGATATCTCGGTACCATAAAATGCTTAAGAGACAGAAATTTCTTTGTAAACATCTGAAAGGATAAATCTGTTTGAAAAATATAATATTCAAGGGACTCTGACCTTCTGTTGCAAAAAAAAAATCAAAACAATATATCAATAACAGTGAATATCTAAATCTAACAATGATGTACTTTTCTCCCTAACTACAATAAGCCTTGTATTCTCAAACAGAACACTGTTATGATAGGAGCAAAAGCCAAAGAGTGTAGGCTGAGTAATACTAACTCAGCCTGTGCTGTTTTTCCTTGATACATATTGGGACACAGGATAGTGCATTTTGGTGTGAAATTACAAAGTACATTGAGAATCTAGATGTAAGTTCATAACGTTCTGTTTTAGTTTGGCTACTTGGTAATGTGGTATTGTTCTGCACATCTCTCCTTAAAGGGTAGCATTTGCAAATGTACTGAAAGTCCCAAAGACTGCATCCTTCTCTGTGTGTGTGTGTGTGTGCGCGCGTACACAGACAAAGGGTTGGGGTGGGGGAGCAGTTCCCTGATAAGTTTAGAGATCGATAGACTGGAATTATTTTTAAGGTGCTATTTATAGCCATAGGATCAAGTCATC